AGAAAGAAAGAAAGAAAGAAAGAAAGAAAGAAAGAAAGAAAGAAAGAAAGAAAGAAAGAAAGAAAGAAAGAAAGAAAGAAAGAAAGAAACCACCATGCTCCTCAGAAATGTGAGTGCATAGACAAAATACTTGGAGGTTGATATTTGTTTGGGTTTTTTGTTTGGTTTTTTTTTTTTGTTTTTTAAAGGGAAAAAATAATGTGGCTGTATTTGCAGTAGTGTGTAGCAGAGAATATTCTGAAGATTCGATTGATTGGTGCCTTTTGATGTCCTAACAGAGTACTCAGGGAAAAGAATCTGGAGGAGAATGACAGCAGAACCTGAAGACATTTGTTCAATGCACAGGATATAAGTCTTAATCCTTAGGTTTCTCGTTACAATTGATTCATGACTGCGAGGCAGTTTTATTTCACAAAGATATGATGCACATATCAACACACCAAAATGTCACTGTCCAGGGGAGGGATGGAAAAAGACTGACTAATGTTACCCCTATGTGTGATACAAGATAACTCGAGGACTTGGATATTTACACTATCGTTACTGTAACTGCATCTTTTAGATTTTTTTTTTTTTTGCTTGCAAGCATTAGTTGGTGGTTTAGGAAGGTGTAGCACAGCAAGGAGTATTAAGTGAACCAAAGGCATCCTAAGTATTTAAATGGTAGAGGGTTTTTTTCCCTCCCTTTACATATACTGTAATTTCTCATATACGGAAATATACTGTAATTCTCTTCAGTTATCACCAGGTGGCCTTAAAAGTCTCTTGTTTTTCTGAATAGTTTAGACATGAGGAAATGATGTATTCCTGTGCTGCAATCGTTCCAGGAAATAGTTAGGTTATAGTTCCCAGCAGGGTTTATTTTTCTGTCTTTGTCCCTTGTACTGAGCTGTAGCTAGAACTGAAAATATTAAACGTTAAGACTGCAGGTTTCCATTTAAATTGTATCTTTGAATTCTCCTTTTTTATTTCTTTTTTGTCTTTTAAGAATTTGGATTGTCAAGAATTCATGATGATGAGCCTTTTTTTTCCTCTTTTATTTGTCTCTGTTCTGTGTATGAACAGCTTCTCAGGAGTGCAGGGAAGGAAGTGGAAAGGTGAAGGTACTACTCAAAACTTGGAAAGTATTGTCATTGGAAGATGCTATGATTATATTAGAATTGTGAACCCTGCTGTTGGGTAAGTTTTGCCTGTTTCTTGTGATTAGTTATTTATGTTCTGTACAAAATGGTTATTAATCAGAAGCCTGATGTTATGCTTCTAGCCATGAAAGTGATCCTTTTTTAAACCAACATGCTTGTAGCTGTCTGGAAACAATAAAATAACTTTGATGAATGCCATATTTTAAGTAAAGTAGTGTAATGGAGGCAAGACTTTTAATCCTTCAATTCTTTATTTCACATTTTTTGCCCCCTCCCTTCCCTTCCCCTACTTTCTGTAAGGGGAACAACACACAGAAATGACAGGGATGGTGTTTTGGAAGTACCAAATCTGACAGCACTCCTGGGAAGACAAGCTTTGCCCTGCATGCCAGTATGGAAGAAGGGCAACACCTTGCTTTATAGCTATCCTGTGTACTGAGGGAACCTGTTTAGCTCAGCTACCTGAAAAATCAAGTACCAATCAACTGCTCAAGTAGGATTATCTGTGAGCTTTCATTGGTTGTGCTAATTACACAGAATTGGAGGTAAATCACACACTTTGCTAAAATGAACACTTTTCTGTCTTCCTTGCATTTTTAAGGGCTTCAGTAAAAAGGAAGAAAATAAGAAGGACAGTCTCCTGGAGTTCAGCCCTTTATTCTGCCACTAAAAAGTTGTCCTAACAGTGTGAAGAGGTATTTGCAGAGGGGCCCCTGGCTGGGTTCCTGTAGCACTGAATTGCTGTCTTAAAACAGGGTTAGATGGTATTGCAAATATCACCTAATTTCTTCAACCTTCCATTTTTAGTTCCTGTTGAAAAAGAGGAAGATAAATGACTTTAAAAAATTTTTCACTTTGAACAAAGGCAAAACAATAGATTTCTGCACAATAACACTCTTAACTTATCAGGAGTGTTTTCTTTCAATTTCTTATGAAGGAAAAAGATCATCCTAATGCAAATAACAGTGCAAATTCAGTGGAACAGTTCAAGCTTGGCAAATTTAGAAACATGTCGCAATGGAAGGTGGAAGTAAACTTTAAGTGTAGATTTCTATATTCCTACAATGTAATACATAATGTGAAATATGTGAACTTAGCTAACACTTGTATTGGTAACCTGGTCTTGCAGTAGGCTCTAGATAGGTAGGGCTCCTGCAGGACTTAATAGGTGCCACTTATATCTGAAGCAGAACATGAATAATAATATAGAATATGATAGAAGGAGCAACATAAAGGATAGTTACTATAGAAATTTTAACCATATCATTAACTGATCTGGACTTTTAGAGATGTAAATGCAATATTCTGTAAATACAACATTTCTGTATATCTCATGGTTATGATAGTTTTGTGATCTAATGAATTCTGGTCACATTTTCACAACACGATTTTAAAATTGAGAAGTTTGAACATGTTCATCAAAATATTCTTGGTCAGGATAGCATGAAGCCAGGCAGGACATTAGGATGATTTTCCTGAATTTAGACCAAAAATTGAATTATTAAAAGAAGAGCTACACAACTCATTTTATATAATTGGGGTTTTATCTCTTTCCTTTAGGTCTATAAGCAAATAATGTAATCAAAACAAAGTGGAAATTTCATATTGTATAGGCGCAAAACAGATATTCTAATTATTTATAGCCCTTTCCATTCTTTGTCTGTTTCTTAGTTGCCCCCTGGCTAGCTTTTATGGAGTCATGACCACCTGGATAGGTTTTGCTTCTGAATTTATGAGTAAATTTTCTAAAAATACTTTGCTAACTTAAAGGAAGCTAGCAAAACATGCCATTACACTACAACATAGTTAAAACATAAAGATGTTTATGGGAATATAGGAAAAAACTTTCCCACTTGTTAAAACATTATATGCAAATGGCAGTCAAGAGAGGCATTTTAAAAATGCTGTGGCCATGTAGAAATGAAGAATTTGAATTAAGATCATAGATGACATTTCCTAACAGGAGTATGCTAAATAACACAAATGTTCCTGTGGTGCTTTTCCTCCATATTTGTAGTATATCATGGAAGCTTTGAAAACAATTTTTTAAACTAAATAATGTGAAATTAATCTGACTTATTAGTGTCTACTAAGATTAGAAGGAATTTTCTTGCACTGCAGTCCTTCTCTGCCCTGTAGTTTCAAAAAGTGTTTTTGCCAGCTAAGAAGTTTTGAGTATCAGAGCAGAATAATCCTTTTGATTTACAGGTTGTTCAAACCTGGATGAGAAGTCATGAAAAAACAAAAGCAATATGTGAATTAACCAGAAAATTACTGATGGATTCAACTGTCAAGAAAGATGTTAAAAGTTCAGCTGATCATAACTCACAAGTACTAACTTAAGTGCTTCAAGTAGGAAGCTCTTTAGCAAAATGAGACCTAAGTATATACAATTATCAGAAGCCAAAGTATAACAGCTTGAAATCAGAAATAGGGTCCAAATTCTTTTATTAAGTAAATCTGTTTAAACCTTGAAATGACTGATCAAGGATCATATTACATCACTGAAAATTTTCAGGTCAAGAGCCATATCTGCTTACAGTATTTAGGAGATTTTTACATAGCTGTTGGAAGCATGACCAGAGATTTCTGTAAGAAAATCTGTGGTCTATTTCCTGCATAGCTCACCACAAGGGGTCCTTTAAAGTGGCTGTGACATTCAGTGTCACAAAGCAGCTCCCTAAAGAACCTGTACCAGCAGAAACCATGCTGTCTATGGATGATACTAAATGATCAAAACACTGTATTGGTAAAGTTTGGTTTACTTATCAGGACTACTGTTGTTCAAGCTAGAGCTTTGCAATGACACCTATTCATGTTAGGAAGGCTGTATGCACATAACATAATTATTCTGTTGTGCAGTGTTCCTGGCACAGACATTGTCACAGCATTATGTGGGGAAGGTACTGTGGAAAAGTGATGAAAGTAGAAATTCCCTTCTTAATTACTCCAGGCAGGCTCACAGCTGTGACAGGTGAGATCCTGAAAGCCCAAAGGGATAGGACACTTCCATCTGTAGATAGCCTGTCTTGTCCCTCCATGGAGGTTATCATTCCCAAGAGAGGAAGTGAAGGGAAGGGGAGGCAGAAGGAAAATGTTGGAGTGCACAGCTGGGCATCTTATTTCAGCGCTTGAAGTGTTGAATACTAACAACATTCTTGTAGTTCTTGTAGCTACTGCATAGTGACAGTGTGTGTCCCACTCAGTCCCTGGTCACTGTGCTTGTTCCAGCAATATAAAACTGCACAATCCTTGGGCCTAGAAGCAGAAGGCATCTCTTTGTCACAATCCTTATTCTACCATCAAAACTTTTTAGCAACTCGTCCTGCATTTGAATCTGACATTTTAAGAGCATTATTGCATTCCAGCAGTGTTGGATATTTAGCTATGGTTTATTTGAAATAGCTTTTTGAATCTAGAGAATTTCAAAGAAAGCTTTTTCTTCAGTATTTCTACAGTGCTGGATAGCAAACTCCCTATGTATACCATACCTACTAAGATTTTTATTGAATCATAATTTGTTTCTAATTCCACACTGTAAATGCTAATATTTCCCTTGCTACTTCTTCCTTGTCTGCTGCAGTTATGACTCAGAATACAAGATCTCTATGCTCTTCCTGAGCTACAAGTTTTTTACCACCCTGACTTCAACTTTCTGCCTTAACCTTATAAGGATTTTAATTGGGGTATTTGAAGGAGTTGAGAACAAGTATCTTTCTTGCTCGGCTTTGAAAAAACAATTTTGCTATTTGTTTGTTTCAATGATTACAGTGAGAAGAATTGTTCACAGATATGGGAAGCATTTAAAAATGCATTTATTAACAAAGATCCTTGCAGCATTCTACCTAAGGATTATGAATTATTTATCAATCTCACATTGCACACGATTCCACCTAACAAGGTAATAATTTTTTATGTTAATTGCCCTGTGACATACAACAGATTTTAGGTGACACAGTTCAAAATTGACAAGTCATTCTGTATCTATCCGACTTGTGAGTCATTCTTCTTGACTGTTCTGTGGTTTATAAATTAGACTCTGTCATTTATAAACTAGACTCAGACTTGATAGCATGTTTCAATGTGTTTGGCTCCATTTATTTTATGCAGTTACTTCTCAGCAATGTCTCTTTTTATGCTACAGAGATCCCCCATTTTTCCTGCTATGTTGGGAGCTCTACCATCGTCACTGAACTTCCACTTCTATTTTTCGCTAAGTTAGGTGCTCTGGCTGCAAATGCTGTGCCTGCTATCATCTTTGGCTTTTACTCCTCACAGCTAAGTCTCATGACAGTGACATGTTAAACATTGAACAAGCAAAAGCAGAAATGAGAGAGGACATTGTTCTATGCAAGAAAACAGTAAGGGTGCTGGCAATTTCAAAGAACTGTGAAAGTGCAAAAGACGTGTTGTGCTTTAATGCAGTTTTTACTCTAGCACAATTATTCCTCATTTCTAAATTATACAAGCTAAACCAACAATTAGTACTGTCAACATAGCTTAATTCATGAGGAGTTCCACAAACACAGAAATAACATCTAGACATATGATTTTTCTCACACCGTAAGCCAACATAGCAACGTGAGAGATTTCTGGTAGCATGTATCTGTCTTGTAAATATCTTCCTTTTTTTCTCCTTCCCCTAGATCTGTCTGCTGAGGCAGGCAAAGATAGGCCTAGCTATATTTAAAATAGGACTATATCCCTTCTCATCAAACTAGTAATGTTCCTCAAGTCACCTGTGATCAAAAGGTATATCCCCCCCCCCAACATAAAAAAACTCCATTCCCTTAAAGAGATAGCTAAAATTTCTGGTTATTAGCTTGATTTTGGAAGAAATACCAAAGCATGTTTTAAACTGTTTTCAATACCCCATAGTCTCATTGTGTCCACACCTAAGTGTTGGTACATTTCTTCTCTATGTTTTTTTTCCCCCATAGTCTCTTTTCTGGGAAAATAATCAGCTATTAGTCAATAGCTTTGCTGACAGAGGACGTCGCTACATGTCTCTGGGTGATACTCTGTTTGGCTTCGTTGCAGATTTTCTGTACTGGTGTGGGCAGGCAGACAGCCCTGGTAAGACAATAAGTCCTGTGTTAAGCATTTATCTGTAAAACCATAATGGAGACCAACTGCTGTGTTCTGGAGAAACTAAATTTGCTCTTTCCCCATGAAAAATCAGCGATAGCTTCACTGTGTCGTTCTCTCTTGTATCGTGTGAATATTTAACATTGCAGTCAGGGGAGCACACAATGAAATCTAAATGGTCCTGCAATGGGGATAAACCTCTTTCTCAGTCATCTGAATCCGGAGCTCCCTGCATCCCAGGAACAGAGTTAGAACCATTTCAGCCTAATTCTGAATGCTCAGAATGTCAGTGTTTGTGTAAACTACGAAGGATGGAAAATTACTGAAAAAATACAGCAGCTTTCAGTGCTATGTCAAACGATCTTGTGGGTTCAGTGAGTAATGCACAAAAATATTTAGTTGCTTTCTAATGTCACTTTTTATAGTCACTATCATCTCTCTAATAGCACAAATCACATGCCTTCCTACAGGACTGGACTATGAATCCTGCCCTACAATGGTGGAATGTGAAAACAATGCAGTGGACTCTTTCTGGAGGATGGCCTCAATCACTGTAAATATTGTATTAGTGCTGACTTCATACATCTGCGAGTGTGTCTGGGGTAGTTCAGGAAAAAAAACATTGCTAGTTCAAAACAGATTTAAATCTGTAACTCTACTGTATTGTTTCCCCTGATACAAATACACTGTTTTAGACTGGCTGCAGTGTTTTAGCAAGAAGAATTTAACATTCACCTTAGCTAGTGTTTTAAAATTCTGTTAGTTTTGTTAATATAAAGCATATACTAAGCACAATAAGCACACTGACTGTCTACTGATTACAGGTCCTAAGTGACATTTGACAGTGTTTCTGAAAACCCTTTACTCACAAATCAAAATCAACAGAGAATGCCAAAGTGCTTTCTTCTTGTGCTGAAGAAATTACTTATAAATGAATGAGAGAAAATAGCTTGAGAAGAACCATTGAATTAAACCATGGCCTGTTTGGTTCCTGTGCTTTTCACTGCAGTGACCTGCTATCGTGCTAGCCTAGTATTTTTTTTGCAGTTCTGATATTCTTCGTGCTAAAATTCTTTCCTTGGTCGCTGTTGTTTGCAATAAAATATCAAGTTATTTGGCAAATCTGTGAGATCTGCAAAGCATTGTTATCTATTGCAGTATGCACAGCACAGCTCTGGGGTGATACATGTCTTGCTGAATGGTTCTGCAGATGGAGGAGCTTATCCACAGCCAGGGTAAGAGAACTGACTGATTTCTGTGTAGAGTCTGATGATTACAAAAAAGAAAAGTCAATCAATTATTTGGGTCTTCTGCTGCACAAGGTATGGGAAGTGTAGCTGAAAGGAGCTATTGCATCGAAGTCTGCTGACTTGTGGGGAAAACTGTAAGTTGTCCCTAGCTGAAGGAATAATACATTGTGGATGGAAACAATCCTTTCAACTCCTGCATTTTACAAACTGCTGTGGCAAGCACTGTGAATGCTCTGAAAGCTGCCCTCAAGTCAGCCAATATACTGTGGTAAAATGTATATGTTTTCAAAAAGATGAGTGTTTACACAATTTCTCTTCAGGAATATGTCCAAGTACAGGATATTGTTACAAGGAGTGTAGCTTTTGTCAGGCCTATGAGCAAACTTGGTCAATTCTAAAGGAAAGTATTCCCCATGACCAAGAGTGGACATAGTTTGAAGTCTATTATGGTTTCAGAAAGAAAAAAAAAAGGTTGCTGAGGAGGATAATAGCAAAGATGAGCTTCCTCTTCTCCTTAGTTCCTTTTATATTAAGGACAGGTGTATTTTTCCTGATTCAGAGGTTTACCACCATGCAGAAGCTCATCTACGCTTACATTCAAAACTTATTGTAAAAGTACACCCTTTAGAACTTCTACTATGTGTCTGTAGTGACTACTTACCTGTGATAAAAAAATGCATTCTTCATTACTTCAACAATTGTCCTGTCCAAGGCAGATCAAAAACTTACATCTTTTAAAAACCCATAGAAGAGATCCTCCTCCTGTGTATTCACTGAGGATTAAAAATGACCATTGAAAAGGCAATTTTAACTCTGGATAGGAAAGAAACAAGAACTATCTTTTCCAAAACACCTCCTAACTACTTACCTCTGTCCCCCAGAACATCCATCTCTGTACACAGCTTTCAGCTAACCACAAAGACTTATACAATCTCCTTGGGTTGGTCAAGTGGTCAGCTAGGATCAGATCTTCTGCAGATGGTAATACCTGGCAGCAGACCAATACCCAGAATTTATTCTGGATAAAAAAAAACATAAAAGATTGGAAGTTGTTACACTACATCTTGCTAAAAGGGTTAGAAATCTGTGGCTTTGAAATGCTAGCATCTCACAAAAATAAGATTCCTTATTTTAGAAATGGATTCCTTTTTTCTGTTAATTTACAGATTCTTTAATTCAAAAATATCTCACACACACATAAATTCCACCAATTCCCTGGGTTGCCAGTCTGGTGGTATTTTAACCAGTGAAATCACCACTGGAACTCAGCCTGCCAAGAAGAAAAACAAAGCCAGTTACTCCGTCTGTTTTCTTTGCTGTGTACCTTCTGGTCCACTTATGACTGAATTTGTTTGAGAGCTCATGTTTGAAAAAAGCTGGAAGTTGAATAATTAATAGGAGAAGGTAATCTGAAAGATCTGCCTGTCTTCCTAACCATCTCTCTGGTCTGTTTTTAAGTATTTCAAAGCCCCTTTCAAAGTTTATTCAGTTTTAAAGTTTGTACACTTAAATCATCATTAAGTCACTTGATATCATTTCAGTTAAGATTTATTTCTCATTTCATGGCAAAATAACTTTTCTCATTCACACAGTATGAATTTAGTTGGTAGTTTTCTTTAATAATAGTAGGAAGTTCAAAAATTGGTTTTACTGAAGTCACTTGTACATTGTTCCTCCACGGTTTCTGGCACCTCTAGTTAAACATTTCTCCAAATTTGGGAACAAGCTTCTTTTTTTCTGGCAATAACATATGCATGGCTGAGTAAATGAGTTGGAATCTTTATTTTTTGTTATATTTTCACTATGAGTCGGACAGGCTTGGATGCCTTGGACAGAAAGGCAAACCAGCTGTTGCTGCTACTGGGCAGCCACTGCTGTACCAGACTTGACTGGAGGAAGCAACTCTTGATATCTGTCCTCCTGTTCCACTTCCCCAGAAATTTGAAATAATTTGCTAACTTCATGAACCAACAGACACTGACAAGCAGCACATGTCCTGTGCTTCCATAGCAGAGCCCTGGTAGTTTGCCTGAAGGACCAGGAGGACAGACCCACATTGTCACTGCTGGTCCCATCCAGGAAGTGGCAATTAACAGTCCCTTCTTCTCCGTGGAGGTCTCAGAACATTTGAAAGGGCTAAGAGACACTGCAGTGCTCATACAGACATTTAAGAAGCATGATAGGCAAATAGCAAATTAGAGGAGATACCTAGGCCCAGACTTGGACCAGGCATTCAGTGAAGACACAGCCCTTACAAACTTTCTGAGGGAAAAAAAACCTAAAAGATTGGAAATCGTTTCACTACATCTTGCTAAAAGGGTTAGAAATCTGTGGCTTTGAAATGCCAGCATCTCACAAAAAAAATCAATCTGGATTCATTAAAATCAACCTTTGGATTTAATTTCTTCCTAGATTAGATATTATGAGGAAGTACTAAATGTTTTTTGTTTTGTTTTTGCATTTTAAAAAGTTCATTCTGTTTCACTTTTAGGTGACTTCATTAATGCAGAGGAGGAAAAGACTATTTATTTTTCATGTTCTTTACAGTTCATTTTTTTTTTCTTGAATCAGTTTTTTTGCAGATTATGAAATACCTAATCTCCAGAAAGACAAAATTTCACAAATTGTCATTTGGGTTGTGGATGATATCGAAGGACCAGATATGTAAGTTATGCCTTTAAAAAAAAAAAATCCGTTTCTCCCTTTTGGACCTGTCTTTAAAATTTCACCTTATCTTTCTGTTTGATTCTATTTGCATACTACTTAAAGCAAAATATTTTAGATGCTTTTGTGAACACAGAAGACATAACATGCCATTCCCAGAGAGTTTAGAAATACCAGCATTAGAGAAAATATAAATAAATTCTAATATTAGATCTGGAGCCAACTCTTGGTTAGATGTATGTGTGAATCTCAGACCCTGAATGAAGACAGAGCATGAAAAGTTTTATTAAGAGCCAATCTGAATTTCAGATTAAGTGCTAATGAGTGATATTTCTTTCACCTTGCCATATGCATTCTTTTCATTTTCACCTATCCTAACTGTTTGAAAATTTGTAGAAGCAGCCAAATACCATCAGGTGGCTCTTTTTCTCTCAATACTTAATCCAGTAATAACATGTAGGCTTTGAAAGTCTCTAATATTTCTGGTAATATAATTAAAGCAAACAAATAACTAATAATCAAATATAACAAAACCAATCAGTCCAAACAGAATAGTCTGTTGTATATTTTACCACAATGCTGTGGAATCTACATAGCATAGTTCAGATTAGCATTTCTCAGCCTGCCTCTCTAAATCAAAGAATTATACCTTCTGGGAGGGAAAAAACATACAGCTCATCTTTGCAAAAGTTGCCCTTTTTTTTTTTTTTTTTTTTTTTGCAAAAGTGCTTCCTAAGCAAGCACTGAATGTTAATTTGTGTTTCAGTAAATGGATGCATGGGGATAATTGTATATGTTTATTAATTGTTTTCTACCATTACTTTGTTGCTCTCCATATGATTTCTTTATTCATGGGTATTTACTGCCCAGCAGATAAGTAGCACTGGCCTTAATACTTTAACTTGGTGCAAGTTTAGAGGTCTCAGTAAGTTCTGTAAACTTTCTTATACTAATTGGACTACAAATTAAAAAGTCAGTGCTAGAAATAGGAGCTGTGTTTAGGATTGTTTCTGGGTTTTTTCTCTCTGTGTTTTTCTATTATTCAACATTCAAGAGAGAGAACAAGCTTCCAACACCAAATATAATTCTCATTTATTATAACAAACTTATTCTGTAAAGACACACAGCATCAACTTTATCACTACCTAAATAGCTGCCAAAGAGTATTACAAACAGAACAGTTACTATTTTACAAAATTATTTAGATCTTTTTCTGTCTAGTCAAATATTAAATGTGGGACTATTGGTGAATAGAATCTGAAAATGCTGCACTGGCTGAAGCTAATCTTCCAGACTCTGTAAACTGAGGATAACTTGTGAAACAACAGAAATATAAGCAAACGAAGCATAAATAGCAATGTATACCACTCTTCTGGAGGTGTTTTGGATACAGAAAAGGCAAAGTAATGGGGATTTACTTTACTAATTCCATCAAGTTCAGTGAAAAGAAATTATATAACAAAAGATTTGCAATAATACTGAAATCCTTCCTCACAGAGATTCCTGTGGAGTTAATACTGTAAAGACATTAGAAACCAGGCTGAAAACTCTTGGTTATGATGTCACTTGCACTGACAATAACAAGTAAGTGAAAACCTTTTATTAATATGATGCATTTGCAGAAGCATCTTATCTATTTTGATTCTCACTGTTGAATACTGAAGTGCCATTAATGTTGTGTCTTCAGGAGGGGCTGATATGTTGAAGGGATGATGTCACATTTTACAGACTTGGCATTTTTTGGTTGTGAATTGAACAAAACACTACATGTTATTGTATGATTGAGTGGGACATTCTACTTACTCAATGTCAGACACAGAAGATGGCCTCATGTATTTGGATTTAAAAACTAAACAACAGTTAAAATTCTACTGAATGTCTTCAGAATTACCAGTTATTCACAATAGGTTTCACAGCTCTAGTCATTCCCATAGATTGTAAGATAAATTTAATGAAGGGAAGATTTAAACGTGATAGTACTATGGATTTGTTTCACTTTTTCATTTTTTTTTCTCAGTTGTCTTCCTGAAAGGTGCTAAATAAATTGGTATTTTCACAGGTCTGTAGTGTTCTTACTCTGCCTGGGTAATCCTGATGATTCTAAGTGTGCCCTTGCATCGTAAGTAAAAGAAGTTCAACCTATCCTCAGTGTCATTACAACTGAATAAATTATGCAGAAGTCAACAGTTCAACAGATCCCACCTCTACCACCTGTTATATATTCCCCATATGCAATAAACAGTGGTCTTGAATTTGTTACTTACTGTGGAATGAGTTAGCAGTTTCTATTCACAAATTGTGCACAGCTGTCTGTGAGCACCTGCTGTTCAAAATTGATGGGTTCTCACTGATCACATAGCAACACTGTACATTATTGATGATGTGAAGTTTGTACATATCACTGTTCTGATATAAACTCTATTACAAATTTGAACTTGCTTTCATTAATATGATTCTTTGAATAATGAAAGTATAGATCAAATGGCAACAGATCTAAAGGATATTTCTCCAGCCACTGGAATTTTCAGTTCTAAATTTTGAGGAAGTTTCTTTTTAAACTCCATTTTGTGTGAAACTGAATCTCTATATTTAATGTATTTACCTTGAGCTAGTGAGTTATCTACAAAAAATGTACATTACATCCAAGACATAAGTTCTTAATTAGCAACCATTATTCCCAAACTCTCATCTATATTTATCTATATTATGTAAAGAGCATTAAATTAATTTATTATGTATTTCAGTGAATTTACAGTAAAGATTATTGTTTTCAGTTCTATGTTTCTTAATCTATATGCTGTTGCATATATAGGTACACATAAGATACTTGAACATCTGTATGAGAACTTCCTCACTGTTTAGAATGTTGTAGAACATATAGATACATAACACTGTTTTGTAGTTACATTCTTTTTATGGATAATCCATGCTTTATTTCTTACTGTCCTTTCTTCCCTTTTCAAGCACATGCAAATTTTTGTTTGTTAATACATATGTGATATTGCAATGATAACTTCTGCTGTGAAAATCCTGATTTGCTGTCCCTGATTATGGCAGCAGAGAGGTGCAACTGCAGCTTGCTTGCTTCTGAGAGGGGCTGTAGTGCTTCACACAGTACAGAAAAGGAGGTGGATATCACCTCCTGTAACATACGTACAGTTTTTGGTGCACACATACAGAGAAAGTGAGTATTCCCTGTTCTTGCTGGTCACTGAGAACTTTTACTCACCTTGCCATGCAACATTTATTGCATGCAAATTATATCCTGGCACAAGCATATCAATGTTATGAAAATAATGAGTTTATAGATACCTCTGATAGCCCCAGACTTCTTCTAGGCAGTAGATCACAGAACAGACTTCCTGTTAGGACTTTGATTGGTTACAAAATTCCACTTGCACAGTGGAGTAAAATGGGGTTTCCTTGTTCTGCCACTGAGTGGTAAGGCTTTTGTTCACATGTCAAATGAAAATACAGTAATCCCCTTCAAAATAATAGCTGTGAACATAGTGACAATATTAACAAACTGGAAGAAAAAGCACTTGGCAGGACTTTGAAAAATACAATATTGCATTGAGCTTTTAACAGAATATTTTTCTCCTCTCCCAGGTTTTAAATAATTTTCCTCAAAGTTTTGTGATGTGGTATGTTATTCAGCTGAGTAAACCTGGATGAGAAGCATTTTGGAAACCATTAACGTGTTTCTCCTTTCAGCTAAGGGATGAGCATGCAGTTCTGCAGTGTTGCCACATGGCGTTTGCAGTGTGTACGCAAGGGAGCAGCCGCCCCTTCCTTCCCCTCCATGTTGGTACTCAAAGTAACAAAATCCCTGGTGTATTTGAAACACCAGTCTCACACTCCTCATACTCCTGGGGTAACTCCTGAGCAACTCAGCTGTTCTCATCCTCCTTAGGAAAAGTTTCCTTGCTTGTTTCCTTCACGAGCACTGTATTCCATCCTGTATGCATGGCATTGTAATAAGTTCGATTAATTTCTTATATATCCCAAATCACAATAGAGCTTCCCAATCTGAATGCAAAACTATCATTGCCTCTCCCTGCAATTTAAGTAACTTAAATACTACAAGCCAATGAATACTTACATTCTTCGCAAAATCACTTAATTTTCTGCGGTTAATAACACCACCTCCACAGAAAATTGCTGCCTTTTCAGAAAGAGCCTTAAGCAGATCCATATAAAGTATTTGATGATTATCTTCCTAGGTACATTTTCTGTGTGGGTGGATCCCTGTTCTGTGATGGGGGCACATGGGGGCAGTTTGGTCAGTAGGGGTGTCACTATTTGGAGGGTGTATCTGTTAGGAAAAGTTTGCTTTGCAGAGTAGCTGTTCTCGGTGTTCATATTTCCATAATAAACCGTGAAACAGGCATGCAGGCTCTGATGCATCCCCTTTCACGAGGGCTATTTGCTATTACAAGGCTGATAGCTGGCCTCTCAGCTTCCAGAGAATAATATCCTGAGCCCCAAAATATCAGAGTTGGACAAGTGACTTTTTATGTCATCACAACTCCTGTTACTTTGGCATAGCAAACGAGAGAGCTGCTAGAGCAGCAGAAGGATGGCCTAGAAGGTGCTGTAATGTACCTGGGGCTTCTTACCTGGTGGTGGTGCCCCTTAACTCCTCTCCAGACTTGAATTGTACACTTGCTGAGTCCAGTTTGGACTTTGGCTTGTAAAGGTGTTAGAAAAAAACTTGTGAGTAAAAAACACCCACTAGATGGCAGAGATGGCTTGCAAATGTAAGCAGGAAGGACGGCAGATGCAAGCTGTTAGTGGTGGTATGTATTACTCCCATTATTGACATGTCAGGGAGACATAGAAGTGGATCTGGATACTATTGCACCAAGTGCTGTGAAAATACAGTCCTCCAGGGCCACTGCTGTCTAGAAGAGCACTATAAAATCACAAGCATGAGGCCAGAGAAAGCAAATGGATGTGGAGAGACAAGAAGGCTCTGGTGTAAAGGTAGAAAGAAGAGTTCCCAGGGTTTTGCAAATATGTTCTGTTTACAGAATCATGACAGCCAAAGGGATTCTGTTGACAGGCGCATATAAAGAAACCTCCAGCTTAGCACTTGGGCCACAAACTTCACCCTTGGCAACAAACCCCTGATATTTAAAAGAATCCTAATTCAGCTCTGTGCTGTGAACATCCTGTTTGTTTTCTCTTCTTCAGATCTGCACCAGCTGCACAAAGAGGACCTATATCTTCAGACAGAGGAGGCAGCTGGAACAAGCTCATGTTTGTTTCTTTTGCAGGCTTCTTGTTCAGATTTGCTTTAGTGTACTAAGTTAATCAACTGAATCCATATCCTCTGTTTGCCTTAGCTGGCTATAAATTTGGTTTCAGCTAATTTCTAACAGTAGTTTCCTTCTACTTTTGGGTCTGGCAAACCTGCATATTAAACTTGCATACTAGATACTGGCTTATTTTAGTATCAAAAATTATCCCACAGCTGCTAGAAAGCCTCACCCTTAATTTTCATTTCTTTTTCTATAATAAGTTAATTGCTATTTCCTCTTATCTTTATTCTCCAGAATTAAACTGAGAGTAATACTTCCTGTTCACATATTTCAGATAATAAAATTATACTATGTCTGTCATGCATCACCCACAGAGATAACTTGTTTGTAAAACCATCCTAGCATCTGACCTTGGAAACTAAGGGACCGATTATCATGTTTTGGGAGGCCGAAACATAAATTCAAGTGTGAGAGATCTTAGATTGCTCACTTGATACAAGATGCAGTAGGTAAGACAGTGAAAAAGTAAACTCATTTTCATAAGTGGTCCAGTACTTGGACCAAACTTAAAAACTAGGGTGTAGCAGGATTCTGGGTGCATACTTGCCTACAGTATTTTACCACATAATATCAATTGCCTCATTATCAACACAGCTCTTCCTCAGCTGGCTGTTTCCTGGCCACTAGACAGCAAATAGTCAGAAATACCAGGTCTAGAAAGTTCCACAGTTTTTCCACCACAATGTGATTTATGGTATATCAAATTCAGATAAGAACCTGCCAAGTCAGACATTGGCCTGCTTGCAGTAAGCTTGGATAGCAGGGTTCAGAACACACTGAGGAGAGAGCAGATGCCAGCCTGAAGGTTTCTTGGGTTACTTGTGTGAATTCCAGTGCTCCAACTAGATGCTCCTCTAAACCATCAAGACATCCAGCTACCAAGATGACATATAAATCTTCAGAAGAAAATAGTCATTCCACTAGAGAATAACTTGATGTAGATATTTTTTGCACATTTTATATTAGCTTCTGTATTATTTATTTGTGTTTGTATTGACTGGTTGTGAGAAAACTTAGGGAGGATGTTCCTGTTATCTCAGTGAATCTGATTTAAGGGTCCATAGTAGATTTACATCCTTTCAATCCCTGATGCAAGTGTATCATATTGTGTGTTTGAAAGATAAAATGTTTAAAATATGTTGTAGTCGCTTATTTGTCTTGTTTCCCTGCCTGTATTAAGCTTTAATTTGATTTTCATGCAAATCTCTTTACATTACACACATATTTGGGTTTGCCTAGGTCACAGGTGAGTTTAGGCTCCAGCTTGAAGGATTTTTATAACTGTTTCAGACACAAAAAAAGTACTGAAAGTACAAAAGTACTGAAATCCGGAGTTCCAGACCTTTGAAAATCTGGACTGTATTATGCCTCAGAATTGTTCCCCATCTGTGCTGTAACTTTAATCCTTTGATTAGTTCCTTGAACATCTTCATCATTTTTTATTGGGTTTTTTTTCATGTATTATTTTTTACAGCAGCTTCCAGAGTAGCAAGAAAGGTATCTGTAATACAGTCACATCTCATTGCTTACTAAAGCCAAGCAATTTTCAGTCTTCTATTTGCCCACAGCAGATGACATCATGACACATTTTGGGCCACAGACTGTCGTGTGTGTGAGGCTCCCAAGTGTCCATGCTATCATCAGGGCTGGTGTGTCCTACCTACTGAGCTGTGTGTGAGCTCCAGAGAACAGCTTCATTAACCATGTGCCTCTTAGGCAACTTCCATCCACAAGCCAAGCTCCCCAGCTGGCCAACTTTTGCTTTCCAGCTTATGAAACCTTTCCAGCCTCTGCATGTGATTGATTCCAGCAGCACAGCCAGTGCTGGTAGTTACACATGGTACCACTCTGTAGAAAGTGCTAAATAATTCTGTTTTGGAAAAAATAATTAAAATACAAAGTAGGATAGCAACAATTTAAACAACTGAGGTTATTTAATGCATAACCTTACCTCAAAAACAACACTCTCAGAACCTCTTGCAGTGTTTTCTTTCTAATGTTCTTTCATCTTTTCCCTTTACTTCAACTCATAGCAAAGACAGAAGTTTCTTTTCTAATGCCTATTCAATAATGTGTCTCAAACTTGCTTAAATAACTTGGGAAGATCTGTACAGATTTTTAGCTAACCAACTAATATAGCTAGAAAAAAAAGCAACAAGGCAAAGTTCTAGACACATAGGTTTCCTGAGATTTTTAGAGGCAGCGAATTTCAAGCTGAGTGTGAATCATTTGTTCTGAGCTTAACATAATGGTTTTAATTTGTGCAAAGAACAGTGTGACTGGCGTCTTGGAAGCTGAGAGGCAGAAAGTGTCAGCAAAGCAAGAAACAATAAGGTCATTTGTTACTCCCAGAGGGAGGGAGAAACATAAACATGTCTTTTTTAAATTTCTTTATCTATAAGGATGTAAATAGCACTATTTACAGATACATGTTACACTTAAGTGGTGACAATCAGCCAGGTGAGTCTGTGCTACGTTTTGAACACTCAGGAAATGCTCTGATTAGCAGTGTAAGAGCTGTACTAAATGCGGAGAAATAATTTTATACAAAAGGCATCTGCCCTTTTCCTTAAACTCATAAGCCTGGGGAAGTTCCCAAATATAAATTCAAACTGTTTCAACCATTCATATTTGTACAAACAGTACTACAAAACAGCTGTCTCCAGATGTGAATTTGAGGGAGAAAATGTTTCAGATGAAAACAATATGTATATCACTTAATTTTGAGTCCTGTTGGATGCCAAAATCCTGTGTAAATCTATTAATATCCAACTACTTATGGCAAATGAAAACATTATATACAGGAGCATTACAAGGTGTACTGCATTTCTGCAGTCAGAGCTGTGGAAGATACTGAGTCTAAGGCAGTATTTCCTTCTGTGCCTATTTTGTGGACTTAAGAGCTCAGTTATCTCACATTCTTCATTCCTATGTAAAAGTTAATATAATCTCCCCTCCTACTAGCCTACTTTTTTTTCTTTTTGCTACATGCATTTCAGTCATTGTATCTGACAGAAGCTGAACTCTAATTCAGAGTAGTTCTTTTTTCCAGCATGTATGTGCATGTACATATGTACATCTGCTCACACCTGCTCTGCCTATTTTTAAATGCAAACTCTTGAGTGCTCTGGAATAAAAAGTTATGAGAATAAAGCAAGGACAACTTAATCACCTCTCTGCCCTTTTTATACTGCCGATGTTTATTTTTGGTCATATGGGTCTTGATGTGATATTCCGCTGACATGACTGTGTTTTCAATCAACAATCTTAAATGTAGAGAAATGTGACCTGAAACCTGAAGAATTTGAATAATACTTTTTGTTCCATGAAAGCTAACTCTTTTGATAGTGTTCTTCTCAACTGAATTACATAGAAATAATTCTGACATATTTTGCTTCAACAATAGTGTGAAGTGAAAGAAGAATGCTTTTAGCAGAGCCAAGAAGTTTGGTTTAAAATAGCTCAGTATGGGGAGGCACAGTATCTTAATTTAGCCAAATGTCAGGGTGGCTCAAACACTTCACAAGGGTTTTTTTTTGATTTTCAGGTTTTTCCTAATTCCAGCTTCTGCCCAGTCTAAATTTACATGCAATTTTATGTAAGAGGCAAATAATATTTGTCAAGCTTTGTTTATAATCTGCAGGCATCTGATTTCCTAGCTTCCTGAAGATTATGAAGGCAAGCTCAGAGCTCCTGATTCCCTTCAGGCAGCAGCACAGTTCCAGTGCAGGCTGGCAGGGAGACTGGTGCAGGAAATTGGAGCTGGGAGAGTGGCACATATGTCCCCTAACAGCGTGCCACAGGGCTCACAGCCTGCACAGGGTGCTGCCTGGCAGCCCCCTCCTCCCACCTTCTCCCTTTCTCTGCAGCCACAGCTAAGGTGAACCTGATTTCCTTCAGATGAGCTACTTTGTATTTTTAGCAAAATATATGAGCAGAAAATGATGCTGCTGGAAATTCTGTAAAAGGAAAACAAAGGCAGAAATTATAGTACACATTTCCTTGCAGCAGCAGACAGTGCTGTGAAGTGGTCTCTCACTTGTAACCATTTGACCAGGAATACCTGTGGGATGTGAAAGCAGTCAGTGTGGTAAGTTCCCTAAGTGCAGACAGAGACGATCCTCCAGAATTCCTCCATTATGTCTGGAGTATCTTATGCCCTTCATTACAATACTTAACAAAGAAATATTTTTAACCCACTAACTGCATTTGTCTGGGCACCTCTCAGCGATTAGACTTGATATGGCCTGGCATCAGGCATGAACGCTTTGATAAATAAAGAATCTAAGTATTGTAGGAATAAAGAATGTAAGTATTGTGTAAGTCAAGACTGTGGTGGATTCTGGATTACCAAACTGCAGGAAGATTTTTTTCCCCATTTGCAGCAAGTAAAATCAAGAGTGCTAAAGAAATGACAGGCATTCTATCTGCTACACTGTGCAGATGTGGAAAAGCACCTCAGTCTCCTTGTGCCATTTTGAAAAGCAGCAAGCAAAGAAGCAAATGGGTAGAAATAAGTATCCCATGGAAATTTAAATAATTTTGATACGGACGGTTGAGAGAGAGACGGGGACCACTGATTCGTGATCAGAATCCGGATTTTACTCTAAGCTACATATGCTTATATAACATTTTCAGGAAGGCTAGACATTTTTTGCTACATTCATTTAGTTAAACATCACACATACAAACTTTACATTTCTACTTAGTTAAATCTTCTTTCCTGTCAGCTAGACTTGATTCAATCTTCTTGTAATCTTCAAGGCTCTGTTCTTGCCAAGGCATCTTGGTTATCAAACTGCATATGCTAATTAAATATACAGTGCTATCAGTCTCATTTACAGTTACGACATTCTGATACCAAATTCCAATTGTAGGACATGCTGGCCTGTGTTGAGCTTCATTTTTACTTATCCCTCTGATGAAAGGTACCAGAAAATCCAGAGCTGGTATTTCCACAACTCAGAATGTATGCTCTGGGCTTTCACCCAGAACTTTCTGTCACCACTGCACATTAGCATGGAGTTGTATGACATATATCACTTGACATATATCACTTGAAAAGTAGTTAAGGACAGTAAGGATAACCAGTAGTCTTGTAAAATGCAGCATCAAAGCCCAGACAAATATTTCTGCACATGAATACAAAAGCACATTTTACACAGTTGTCAACTGGACAGGATCTTTGTCAAGTTTTTTGCTTTTTTGACCTTTGACCTATTACATGAAGCCTTTCCAAGTGGCATACCTACGCTCTGTAGTTCTTTTAGGAGTAATTGTGCTATTTACGCTTTCTTGGAGTTGGAGAGCCTAATTCTGTATCGACTTTGTTTCCTTGGCTGCCTCAGTGGGATGGGAGCCTTATGGGTATTTCTCTTCAGAATGTGTGAGCAGCATAACAATTAGTACTGGCGAGAAAACGAGCACTCAGTTTCATGAAAGTTGGTGGGATTACTGCATGTGCTTTTCCTCTGCATTAAATTAAACCTTGAGAAATGCTTTGCACAAGAAAAGTACAGGAGCCTCATCAGAAATCATAGATCCCCCACTGATAGGATGTAGCTTTGGTACAACTCTCACTTACTTGCAAACTCGACTATCACAGCTGTTTATATTTTTTATAAATTAAATCTATCTTGAGTAAAAAATACTTTGTTCATATCCTGATTCAGGTAGAATAAATGAGTCATTAAACACGGGTCTCCCACTAGCAGAGCAGTGGTTTAAACATTACACTTTGGAATGTGTTTTTCTAGTTTGCCTAGGACATCATTTTCTGACATGTCTAAATAGAAAGGCATAACAAAAAGTGATGAAGGTGATACAAAAGAATGAAGCAACCTGTTTTCCCAAACTGTTCCGGAGCTACTCCACCTCCTTCCCCACCAGAGCAGAGTTTGCATGTAGGAGATTTCCTGGCATTTTGCTTTGGTCCTTGACAAAATCAATGTGCAAGC